TGCTTGTTTTTCCTGTGTTGTTCTTGTCTTACCTGTTCCTGTATGATTCCAGCGTTTCCCACCTGACAAGTCATACTATGTTGCCAAAGAACTCCTGATGACAGAGAGAACCTACAAAAAAGACCTGGAAGTCATGACTGTGGTAAGGCACTCATATGGTCACACACAAAGATGTAATGCACTGATCATATGAACAGTTTAAAAAAAGTCTTGTTTAGAAAGCCTTTGATTGTACCCTCTTTTCTCCCCTCTACCGCCAGTTAGTGATAACTATAGTATGTAATAGGAGGACTTCAAATGGGGTATTGCACTTAAAACTGTGTATCCTGACCAGAATATTGATAAGGTTCAAATTCAGGTTGAGCGTGTGACTGAAGTAGTTGATGTGTCATGTGGTATGTTCAAAATATGTTCTGTCTTCCAGTGGTTTCGTAACGCAGTCAGTAAGGACACGGCCATGCCAGACTACCTTTCGCAGCTGCTGTTTACCCACCTGGACCCCATCTACGAGTTCCACTGCAGCTTCCTGAAGGAAATAGAACAGAGGCTGGCCATGTGGTAAGACTGACATGTCATGACTTGTCAAATTGTTTGTAGTGATAATAGAAATAACTGCAGCTTCCTGAAGGAAATAGAACAGAGGCTGGCCATGTGGTAAGACTGACATGTCATGACTTGTCAAATTGTTTGTAGTGATAATAGAAATAACTGCAGCTTCCTGAAGGAAATAGAACAGAGGCTGGCCATGTAGTAAGACTGACATCATGTCATGACATGTCAAATTGATAATAGAAATAACCGTAATTTTCTGAAGGAAATAGAACAGAGGCTGGCCATGTGGTAAGACTGACATCATGTCATGACACGTCAAATTGATAATAGAAATAACTGTAATTTTCTGAAGGAAATAGAACAGAGGCTGGCCATGTGGTAAGAATGACATCACGTCATGACATGTCAAATTGATAATAGAAATAACCGTAATTTTCTGAAGGAAATAGAACAGAGGCTGGCCATGTGGTAAGAATGACATTACATCATGACATGTTAAATTGTTTGTAGTGATAATAGAAATAACTGTAGTTTTCTGAAGGAAATCGAACAGAGGTTGGCCATGTGGTAAGACTGACATCATGTTATGACTTGTCAAATTGTTTGTAGTGATAATAGAAGTAACTGTAGCTTTCTGAAGGAAATTGAACAGAGGCTGGCCACGTGACAAGAATGACACCTGTCATGTCATTGTTTCAAAAGGTTTGTTGAAAGATGGTTAGACTTAATTATAACCGTTAATTAAGTGACCACATATTGTACCTTGTAACTTACCCACTGTAAAGTGTGTTAGTTGGGACAGTGTTAAGACTGATTGTGTTTCTGTCATTCCAGGGAGGGGAAATCCAATGCACATCTGAACGGAGATTACCAAAGAATAGGGGACATTATGTTAAATAACTTAAAGGTTTTGCAGGTTTGTTTTAACTCTTATTTATTTGTAAGCAATCTTGTCATTCACAGTGTTAACTATGTGTTCAGATAAGGATTTTTGTTGTACATCTTGAATTTAGTGCTTCCTGACTCCTGGGTAATTTGATACTGATCCAGGCACTTCCCTGGATTCTGACCAAGTTGGCCTAACACCATCATTTAAATGTTATCTTACCAGCCCCTTTTTCAGTAATTTATAAAGAGTAATTGAAAGCATTTTGAATCTTAGTAAAAAACTATTTCCATTTCAGTTGTACAAGAACTATATAGACCACCATGAAGAGATCTTAATGGGCTTCGAGAACACGATGAAACAAGATAAAAATTTCGAGCAGCTTTTAAAGGACTTTGAGTCACAAAAAGTCTGCTATCTTCCTCTTTACTCCTTCTTCCTGAAGCCAGCGCAGAGGCTGATGCATTACCAACTGATCCTTGAAAGTAAGTACCAGTGTGGGCTGTCTTGGTAAACTGCCACCTATATCTGTTATCTTTAACAGTACTGTTTATTAAAGGCAAAATGCTTCAAGGGTAAGCTTTCGTCCCCAAAGTGGTTTTATTATTTGTGAAATATGGGCCAGGTATATACAGCAATTTACAAAGATATTGTTTTGTTTCCAGGGTTACTGGCACATTATTATGCAGATCACCCAGACTACAAGGATTGTAAATGTAAGTCTCCATCTAAAATACTGTTGTTAACTATGAAAGAGGTTGTTCATGGTCTGCAGATAGGAATTACTCTCTTCATAGAGACTAAATAAATTAAAGCAGTTTATATCAGAACCCAATGACCCCCCATCCCAAACTTAATGCCCTCAGTGCCTTCAGCTCCTGAGGGTTGTCCAAAGAAGCATCACAATCACATAATCACCATTCAACTGACCAAGGTTTATAGATGATGGACCAAAATGTCATTGCATAAAAGGTCAATAAAATAGAAAATATGTTCTAAATTACAAATTAATGCAAACTTCTCTACCTCTGTTGCAAACTGTTTGTTTAATTTATTTTTTTATTTCCAGCTTCCCTTATTAAAATAGCTGAAGTCACCAGTGCCTCTGCAGACACAATGAGAAGTTTGGTAAGTATCAGTATTAAAATAACTGAAGACACCTGTGCCTCTGTAGATGCCATGAGAAGTTTTGTGAGTATCTCCACACTTCTCAGTGTGGAGCAATGCATCATGGGAAAAGTTGGTACACATACTTCTGTGGACCATGTGGTGGTTACCATGTAGTACTGACCATGTGGTGCCAACCATGCACTGACCTTGTGGTGTCGACCATGTGGTACTGTCCACGTGGTACTGTCCATGTGGTACTGTCCATGTGGTACTGTCCACGTGGTACTAACATTGTGATATTATCTACTCTGAATTGAGTGATCTTATTAGGTCTCAATGATTATTGCTTTATGAGAATAAGAGAGGATAGTTCATTGTGCGAAGTTCTGTAATAGAGGTCCCTTTTTCTTAGATAACTGTGCTCCCAACTCTTAGACATTCAGGCTGGTTAACAGATGGGATTGCTACAAAGATTATACATACTATTTCTGTTGTAGGAAAACTTGCACAAACTTCTGGAGTTACAAAGAGACCTGTTAGGAATAGACAACTTGGTTCAGCCTGCCAGGGTAAGTGCTTGTTGCAACTTGGGTGATTTTGAAGCATAGTGATCACAGTAAAATTATATTTTAGATGTTTACATTATGAATAAGATGCATCCTATCTGTTTTACTGCATGTTTTAACTACCATGAGGATGTCATAAGTTTTTGGTAAGCCTCTAAAAAAAGAGATATAAAGTTATTTATCACATATACTGGAGTTTGGTTTAGATATTTGATTAGTTATTCATGTTTCTTGATGTTTGAGAATTAACACAATGGTGTTGAAATATTTCTAGGAATTTATCCGAGAAGGCTGTCTCCAGAAACTTTCCAGGAAAGGATATCAGCAAAGAATGTTTTTCTTGGTAAGTTAAAGCAAAAGGTGTTCACCGTGTTGTTCTTCGTAAGTTTAAGCATAGGATGTTCTTCTTGGTAAGTTTCAGCATAGGATGTTATTCTTGGTAAGTTATGTTTTCCAGTTTCTTGTCTGGCAAAAATGCACTTGAACCAAATCAGTTTTAGTTCTGCCAGGATAACAGGAATGTCAGAGAACTTATTTAAAACAGTTGTAAAATTCTCCCTTCCAGCTGTCAGACATGTTGGTCTACACCAGCAGGTCGGCCACTCCCAGTCAGCAGTTTAAAGTCCACGGGCAGCTGCCACTGAGGAACATGTATGTAGAGGAAACTGACCCCAAGATGGCTGTCGCCAACAGTTTCACCATATTCAGTGGAAACAGGTGCCTCCTAGTAGCAGCCAGGTCAGTACACGTGTGTCAGCTGTGTTAGGTGTGTTAAGTGTAACAGACTGCTTGGTGAGGCAGTGTTAGCTGTGACAGTGTGTTAGGTGTAACAGTGAGTTAGGTGTGCCATTGTTTCAGGTGTGCAGTGTGTTAGGTGTGCAGTGTGTTAGGTGTGCCATTGTTTCAGGTGTAATAATGTGTTAGGTATCACATTTTGTTTGGTGAGACTGTATTAGGTATGACAGTGTGTTATGTTTTACAATGTGCCAGTTGTGACAGTGTGCTAGGTATCACATTTTGTTAAGTTTCTGTTAGGTTTGACAGTGTATTAGATATCACACTGTCTTATATGTGTAAGTGTGTTTGATGCAACAGTTCCATAACAGCAGCCTGTTGATTTTTCAGCTCCCAGGAAGAGAAGGATAAATGGGTCGAAGACCTGACAGATTCCATCCAGCTGGTACGTGTGAAGGGAGACGATATCCACCTTCAGAAACAGCCCAGTCTCAAGTCCAGTACAAGTGAGTAATGTATAAGTGAGATAGTACAAGTGAATACTGCGTTAGGCTGATTGTATTCACATTATTCCAGTACGAGTGAGTGCTGCATTAGACAGATTGTATTCACTAAGGGAGTGTATGGATCATTGCTTGCAATTTCTCTGAAAAGATTTGTTAAACAGAAGATTCGGCCTTTTTTTAACTGGTACTATTTTCAACCATCACGAGGTATATCATTTCAGTTTAATGATTTTGATATTTTTTCAGTTTTATGATTTTGATTGTTTTAGTAAAATTTCTCCATGTATGTCCTCTGAATATTAAGCCCTCCCCCATGTATCTGTATATATCTTGGGTCATCTGTTCAGGTTCCTCAGAGAACATAGATGTGTCAGACCCAGCGCCCTCATCGCCTCCAGAGAAGCAGTCCCAGCACCGCGCCAATACCACCATGCATGTATGCTGGCACCGAAACACCAGCGTCAGTATGAAGGACCATAACACAGCCATCAAGGTGAGAAACACAGCAAAACGTCCTGCACAACATAGAAGTGTTATAACAAAAACCTTGTTCCAGCATCAAGTTGAGACACAACAAATCTTGCTACACAATACAATGTTATAACACAGCCATGAAAGTGAGACACAGCAAATCTTGCTACACAATACAATGTTATAACACAGCCATGAAAGTGAGACACAGCAAATCTTGCTACACAATACAATGTTATAACACAGCCATGAAAGTGAGACACAGCAAATCTTGCTACACAATACAATGTTATAACACAGCCATCAAAGTGAGAAATAGCAAACCTTGCTACACAATACAATGTTAGTTGATGCACAATGTTACAATGCTGCTTCACAACACTGTATTCTAACACACTGTGACATAGCATGCACATCAGTAATTGTTGCTTTATTTCCAGAACCAGTGAGCAGAAGTGGCTGTCACAACTATCACACTGTAACATTAAGTGCTCACATCTGTAATTGTTGTTATATTTCCAGAACCAGTGAAGTGGCTGTCACAACTATCACACTGTACCATTCAGTGCTCACATCAGTATTTGTTTCTTTATTTTCAGAACCAGTTAAGTGGCTATCTGCTGAGGAAGTTTAAGAACAGTAATGGCTGGCAGAAATTGTGGGTAGTCTTCACCAATTTCTGTCTCTTCTTCTACAAGACATTTCAGGTAGGAATATTGATCCCCTTGCCACTATGTAGTGTATAATATATAGGGCCAGAGGAAATTATTATTTGGATAGCTTGGAAGGTATATGTGTTACAGCTGAAAAAGTGTGCTTTTGCTGTGTGGCCCCGAAGAAAAAATGAAAAAAAAAAAAAGCTGGTTCTTTTGACCTTTCATAAATATTTGGAGACTAGCTTTTTCCAGTAGGCAAAAATTATGAAATTTTCAGAATGATGCAATTTTATAATCATAAAAATGAGATATCTATATAGCAATTGTAGTGCTTTTACTGCATATTTCATGGAATAATAGAGTAGTCTGCCTTTTAATTTTGTCGCTGCCACTCAATAGGAATGTACTAATTTTAAGAAATTCTGACTAAAAAATACAGTATCTGTAAAATTCACAATTTTCCCCTTTGAAAAGATCGTTTGAAGTTTGATTCAGATAGAATTTTCTCCAATCAACCAAATTCATTAATTTCTATGAGCAATAAGTGTTTTGTTAGTTACACGCCTAGAAGATGATGTGTTTTTAAACAACCAAATCTTGAAATAATAAGCTATTAGCAGAGATGAGGTGTGAGGAGTGGGTGAGTTATGGCAGGTTGACATCTGTGTGACCAGACACCTTATTGTGTTCTCCCAGTGACAGGAAGCATGCCGATAAGTATGATTGCTATAATATGGTTGTTTGTGTGGAACTGATTGCAGCACTGCTATTGATGGGGATTTGTGGCAGCAATGAAACTAAGCCTCCAAGGAAGACGGCGCCATCTTTAGAAGTTTGTCTCTACAAATCCCTGCGTCATCTCTCTGTGAAATAGTAGGAAGCGGTTGATAATTATCAAAGATGTAGTTATAATGACCACATGTATATTTATGTAAACAGATGTGTTAATTTGATTGCAAAGCCCAAATTAAACATTTTCAGTTTTACATGTTTTTGTGACATTCACTCATTAAATACAAAAGCATAATTATGTCTTTTACTTAAAATTTGATGAGAAGCATGTCCCTTTGAAAACCACTGTGTCTGGACTTAAAGCCAGCACTTCATCTGTCAGGGCCATAAGCAGTAGTTTCCACATTCCTCCTAAATGTGATTTAAAGAAAGCCATGTCATTTGTTATTTTCAAACTTAAGAAATGACACATGGCACTATAATAAAAAGTAATGGAATCCAGTTTAAAAAACCAGCTTGCTTAGATTACTATTGTTTAGTCTATGGCCGCATTCACATCGAGAAGAGCTGAGGCTCTACAAAGCCAAGAACTAAATATGTCAGACGTACATGAAAGGAAAACCGCCTAATCCTTTAATGGTCTCTTGACCTCTCACACGCCTCCCCACGCATCGTCCCAATGGAGCCAAGCTTTAATGACTGTACCCCCGCAGGGACGACGCGTTGGGAGGCGTGTGAGAGGCAGAGAGACTGTTAAAAGATTAGGCGTTTTTTCTTTCATGTACATCCGCCATATTTAGTTCTTGGCTTTGTAGGCCTCGGCTTTGTAGAGCCTCGGCTCTTCTCGATGTGAATGCGGCTTATGCAGGTTTTTGGGACCTTTTCATTTTCCTTTACCATAAACAATTATGCCCCCTATGAAGAAATGAGGTATATTGCTTTACATGACCAGACCTTGTTCCAGCAACAAACAAATAGAAAACAATTTGGTTTGTGGTCTTCATATTTGGAAGGGACATTAGACGTAATATGTAGATAACCCCTATTGATATTGTGTTCACATTGAGATGGCCAATACAAAAACCTTGTCTGACCAAGAAACAGAGAACAATATTGGGCATCTGTGTTTAACAAATGCTTCTTCTTTGCACTAGCTAGCTTTGTTATGCTACCCAATCATGCTGAGACATAGACAAAGCTGAGTTAGCCCAACATTAGAAAATTCTGTTACAAAAAAAAGCATTTAGACGAAAGTGGTTTTGCTTAGAGTTTTACAAGTTTTCATACAGATACAAAAATTCCCACTGTCCTATCTAATATGGTACTTCTGTATTGTATACTTTCAGGATGACTTCCCCCTTGCCAGCCTCCCCCTGCTTGGCTATTCCGTTAGCACCCCCAGCGAGGTGGACGACATACACAAAGACTACGTCTTCAAACTACAATTCAAGAATCATGTTTATTTCTTCAGGGCGGAGAGTGAATACACATTTGAAAGGTATGTCATACTGGCTTCATAAAGGTTTAGACATTTATGAACATAACCCTTAGATTTGTGAGCACGAATGCACAAATTAATGACTCCAGCCGCAAATTTACTACCCCCAATGTAGAATTATTTGCCCCAAGCTTAGCGTTTCATTGCACACATAATTTAGCCCGTTCCATCTGGGTCTCTGGCTGTACATATATGGGTTCTTTTTATCAACAAAGGACTATTAATACGTCAACAATGCATTCTTGACCATCTTCAGCTCATACGGAAGGTACCAAATGGGTATATAAGCAAACACATGGTTTGTGGCTGGAGTCGTCAATTTGGGCATTTTTGCCCACAAATCTTAGGATCCAGTAATAAAATTTGTTTAAAATTAAGACCTGGTCATACTTGCATGAGAATAAATGATGATTTATGTGTGTCGGATTGAGGTGCAAACCAAATAAATACTCTGAAGCCTGAAAAGGTTTCATATGAACTTGGTTTATTTATCCCTATCCTGCAGCAATTAAATTGTTCAGAAAAATTAAATGTCAAATTGATACCACTATTTCTGTGTGGAATGATTTTTAAATTCAAAATGGAACTATTGATCTTGACTGCATTTGTTCTGTCTAACTTGTGTCATATGAATTATCGTAACTTAATCAAAAAACATGATTTTTAATGCAGCAGCCTCATAGTTTCTGTCCTGTGGACATTTTTATTTCCTTCTGAAAATGCTTGATAGTTCTAATGTAAAAGTTTTGAAAATGTAAGGCGTATTTGGGGTATTTGAACAATTTTATGAAAGTTGTGAAAACAATTAAATACACAAAATTGCAGGTTTGCATCTTCCTCACTTTGGATGCCACAGAAAAGTGATTAAAGATTTTAGAGGCTTATTGTCGTCAGTCAGTTCTATTGAACCCAGGGGTATATCCCTAGGGGGTATCTCGGGGCATGCCCCTAGGGGTTGCTCCAGGGGGTGTCCCCTTGCAGTGAAGTCAGTAGGTTAACAAGGTATGTCTGATGGGTCCCCCAGCAGCGTGGTCCTGATGTTTTGAACACTGAGGCCCAGCTGCTGAAGTCCCAGACCAGCGTGAAACAGGTCCAGAGATTTACAGTAGATTTCCATTTGTTGCTGAAGAAATGCACACAGTCTTTGTGCCTCTGCCTCCTCAGAGGAGCAGACGGCTTTGATGCTGTCACTAGGTGGCACTGGTGTACTGGTAACAAGAAGGGACGGCCTAGCTGAAAAAGAAAATGGATCTGCAGACAACTTCCAAATAAGTTGTGAAATTTTGGTGTCATGTTTTGTTCTGTGGAGGTGTATTGTATAGGTTAGGACAGGTATCTGTTGCCTTAGTCACATAGGTGATTCATAGTCCTTAGGGTTAAATCTGTTTATAGGAATGCACTATATTATTTTTGCAGGATGCAGATTTTTTCAAATGTCAATGTCTTGCATAAAAATGTCAAATGCCTGATAGTGTTAAATTATACCTTAGATATCTGATAGTTATTTTGACTGATAGTTTTTCTGATGGGATTTTTGAATAAAGAACAGAGCATACACAACTTCTTAGATTTCTAGAACCATGCAATTACAAATAAAATGTGAATTGTATTTCAAAGGGGCTGTAGAAGAACCAGAATAGCTCCATTGCCCACCTACCATTGTTGCCTCATGCAGTTGCTATCTCAGCCTTCTGTTGGAGAGAAGAAAAAACAAAAATAATGAAAACATTCACAGATAAAACTTGAAAAAAAAAGTGACGTCCAATCTTTGCTGCCTTGCTTACAATCATGTTCATGTTTTTGTTACATCAAAATGGTGTTAAGATACATGATGTCAACAACATTAAGAACAACAACAATAGCGACAACAACAACAGTCAGCCATAGTGCCCTTTAAACATGGAACATTGACAACCAACATGATTATTTATTGACAAAGTTTCTGACATATTTTGAAGATTCAAGAAAAAGAAAAACATTGATAAGACTGTTGAGAACATGCTTGAGAACAATTACAGTCTGCCTAGAATTTGTGATATTGACTTCTTGTATAGCTCATTCCATGAAAATCCCAGTACGCCTGATAAAGTTATTAAATATACTGATAATAATAAAATAAAATGGCAATAAAAATAATAAAATAATGTCATTCATAAAACACCATGAACATTAATAGAGAAAATAGAAGATAACAGTGCAAACCAAGGCATTCTCAAAAACTTAACATTTCTCAGGCATACTTGCACATAAACTTTTAAAGAGTGCAAAGAGTCAGCTTCAAGATCAAGAGAAGGACATTATAAATAAGACAGGATAAATGATGACGACCCATCTCTAAGGATTGTCATATTGACTAAATAGTTGTGATAAAAGTAAAAAGTGCTGTCGACTAGTAACCACTTAAACTAAGATGTGATAGTGGTGTAGATGTAGGTATGGGGGGTATAACAGAATAAGTAGTTGTGACAAAAGTAATTAGTGCTGTCGACTAGTAACCACATAAACTAAGATGTGATAGTGGTGTAGATGTGCGTGTGGGGTGTAACAACATCTACCATGGTGTACTGGCCTTCCTAGTGTGGCGCAGCAGTTTCTGTTTCCATTACGGCAGCACGTTTTCACCTCTGACAGGTCTAGGAAGGCACCCCAGCGGTTCCTCTTTGATTCTTTTAGGGACGCTGAGTCTGCCGCTAGAATCAGAAATGTTTTCATTTAAGTATGTTGTGATATGACCAAGGTTGTAGTCAGCGGCCAAAGTTGGAGGAAGTAAATCAACTCCTGTTGGATGGGGGAGGGGGAGCCATTTCTCTAGTCTTACCCTCAGAGGTAAATTACCACTGGACAAATCTGTGTAAAATGTTGTCTATCAGCAATGCACATTTTGACTAAATGTTAGTTAGCAAAAACTTTTACCAGGAGTAAATTTTTTAAAACCAATGTTTATTCAAAAGAGAAAGGATTCAATCTGCATAGAACATTATACACTGTCCTTTTGAGGACAAAAAAGAAATAAATATTGACAAAGGCAGTAAAAAAAGGAAAAGAAAATTAGGAAAGAATGGAAACGTACAACTAAATGGTTCAATAAATGCTAAAATAACTAAACAGATTAATAAATGTATTAAAGCATATGTATATGTATAATATGTATATAAATACTGCTACTTTTTGATAAAATCCAAGACAAAATCTTATCTTACACTAGGTGAATAAGGGGTGTGATAATGAAAAACAAGAAAATATCTGATAATGAGAATGATCACAAGGAGAAAAACATTGTTGCAATATTTTTCTTTTTTGTGTCTGTATGTGCATATTTTTTATTAAGTGATATTTTAAATGCCCAGAATGCAATGCACAAGACTTGTTTATGTAAGGAAAACTTAGGTAATAAAGACAGTGACAGTTCATGTTTAAGGGTAAAGATGAGCAAAATTGTTTTTCTTTACCTTGAATAAAGGCAACAAAAGTATGACACTTCTCCCCGTCCCTTTCCTAGTGTCCCACCCTGTTTTCAACACACCAGATCTGTACTCACCCTCACTTTCCTCTTTCTGCTGTTCAGTGATGATATTTCTGAGTTCCCACAAAACTTTCAGTAGTTTTAACTGGACGTTGGTGTAGTCCTGAATGTGCAGTGCATTGTCCTGTTGAGGGTCAGCTGCCTCTGTGTTGTCCTGGTATTGATTGTCCAGTGAGGGTACTGCTGTGTCCCAGTAGTCCAAACTGTGGGGAGAGGAGGGTGGGTGAGCCAGTATCAGGTGAAATAATCCTAGGAAAACCCCCAGCACCAGGGTGCAGTATAATGATGAACTTTGCATGCTGTACGGTGATGTAAGTCACAGTTGGCTATAGTTGTCCAGGTATACAATAATGTTGTAGTGTGTTACACTTGGCAAAAGAGTGTTTCTCAGTTACAAAATGTAACAAAATACAGTCCCAAGATTGTCACTGATTTGTTACAATGTATTCAATTGTAACAAAATGTGAAAAAAAAGATCAAATCCAAAGTTTGTCACTGATTTGGTACGATATATAAAATTGTAACAAAATGTATCAGAATGTGCAAAAACTGTCACAGCAGCTTGGTTTGAGTTTTGTCCTGTTTCAGTGCCGTCAGAATTCCGTAGTTCCGTCTTTGGGGTTGGAGTGCCGTCAGATTGCGGTAGTTCTCGCTGTGTGGTTGGAGTGCTGCGTTTGTGGTCCTCTGAGTGCAATATTCCAGTTTTATAGTGTGTGGAGAGAGTGGGATCCCACATTACCTGAGAGAAACTTACCAGACAATTGCCGCAATTATTTCTACTTCATTGTCCTCTGGTAATATCACTGTCATTACTGGAAGTTGTCTATGCACTCAGGGTCATCACAGAATTTTCTGTTGCCCTGACTGTGGATAAACCATAGGTTATATATCCATGTGCCTAGCGCCTCAATCTATCCCTATTTGGACTATTGAAGTGGAGAGCTGAGTGACAGTGCATGTGATCAACTGGAATTGCTTTCCTGGAAGCCGAGGATGTCTGTGAATGATGAAGAGCAGGTGGTTCTGCCTCAACTCTGACATCACTGGACAGGAAACAAGAAATCACCCAATAAAAATACATCTTAGGTTCAGCAATAAGCTCAGTAAATGTTGGATTATAGGCATGTAATGAAGGCCAGGGCTTTTTGATTAGAGGATGTCATCATCTTTTATTTAGGAATTGTCATCTGTGACATCCTTTCTGCCATTACTCCCTTAAAAAGTATGATTATAGCCTGCAGTGAGTGGGTCATTTGTCACTGTACCCAGTGATGCTCCCCCTGGAGATGTTGGTGATTAGGTGCACCAGCCAATTTTAACTTTCTTCTGGCAACACAGGAGATAAGACTAATGAATTCTTAAATGTGAGAATGTGCTAGCATCTTGACTGCAGTCTTCTGATTCCCCTCACTGTCAGACCTAATTTGTATATTCCTTTGTTTGGTATATCAGTGCTATAAAGTGGGCAGTTTACATGGAAACCTGATTGTAACAGTTTTCTTAAAACAAGTTGACGTAAGCAGATAGTTTGGAATGGTACGATAAGTAGGTGACAGGCATGGCTGTATCCATGGTTATCTCCTGCGATTTCCTGCAAAGTTACAAACAAGTTTTCATGACTTAACAGTCTGGTTAGATAATGATGTGTGAAGGACCTTCATGTTTCCTGCTGTGGTTTGGAATCCTTAGCCTACAGTTGACATGGGAAGACATGCCATTCATGGTGCAAGTCATAAGCTACCTGTGTTTGGGGGTTTGGAGCCAACCATGAACTACCTTTGTTTGGGGGTTTGGAACCAGCCATGAACTACCTATGTTTTGGGGATTGGAACCAGTCATGAACTACCTTTGTTTGGGGGTTTGGAACCAGCCATGAACTGCCTGTGTTTTGGGGTTTGGAACCAGTCATGAGCTACCTGTGTTTTGGGGTTTGGAACCAGTCATGAGCTACCTGTGTTTTGGGGTTTGGAACCAGTCATGAACTACCTGTGTTTTGGGGTTTGGAACCAGTCATGAACTACCTGTGTTGAGGGTGTGGTGCCATTCATTAACTACCTTTGTTGGGGGGTTGCAAAGTTGCATTTATGTTGCCAAATGCTCACAAGCTCAGAAGCTAGTCATTTATAAAATATATGATAAAAAATAATATGATATATAGTTATGAAAATGGGGGATTATTAAAGGATATGTAAATAAAGACAGCACACACTTATCTCCCATATTTCCTAAAAGGTAGGATTAATCATTCATCCATAGAAAAAACTATATCTCCTACCGTGATACTTGATGACTCAAGGAAGATAATGAATGTATCAATTAAGATAGAACATGTTTCTCCCCCAATTATCCAAAAAGTAAGATGAGGAAATTAGGTAAATAGCAAAGACTACTTGAACAAATTGTTGACACAAGAGTTTAAATAAAGGCATATATTATATTATTATTATTTTTAAAAATCAGCACAAAAGAAACAATGACCATTGGCAGGTGAAATGGGGATGCTCCCCCGCAATACCCACTTTGCCCTGCCTGCTCCCCATAAGCCAGGCCAGCCCAGGCCACTTTACCGTGCTGCTACTCACTTTGTAACTAAGGGTCCATTCCCATTCCCTATTGTACTAGCAGGATCGATCTATCTCCGAGGGGTTTCTTCCTAAATTGCATTTAGCTTAAGCATGCGCAAATGTTTATACCCCCTTAGCAGCTTTAGTGGGCGTGATAGACATTTAAGCCACTTAAATTGAATGCAATTTAGTGAGAATCCCCTCAGAGTAAGATGGATCCTACTAGCACAATAGGTTTTTGTGAACTCAGTCTAACTTCGGTGTGTGCTTGGTTACTGGAAGCTACCTGGACACAATGGTCACACTGAAACAATGTGAAAGGGCTTAGGGGAGCTGAGCACACATAAAAGCTAATTACTCCCTATATGCTCCAGGAGGCCTGTCATTCAGTTAAGCTGAATGCACTCAGTGAGAGTCCTGGCAGAGTTGGATTTATCTACGTAGGCAGGGAATGGGGTCTAAGTGTGGTCTTATGAACTACCTGGAATGAAGGTGTAGACATGGAGAGAATACTGTGACCAGATCCAGTGTGCATCTCACTATGTGATTTAATTAAGACCTCAATAAAATGTTGGTGTCTAGAGAAGTGAGTTAAGACATTTGTGGTTAAAATTGTCTCTGGTCTGAATACATCTTCGGCTGATAAGATCCAATGGGAACTGAAGCATGTATCTGCTCATGCACCAGGAGCCTGGTTAGTGCTATGTACAGAAGACATAGATCTTCAAAATGGCCATTTCCAAAGTGAAATGATGGAAATTCGATTTCTCAGGACAGTCTTAGTAATTGGTACTGCTGTTCTGTTGGTCTGCTGGGTGTGTTGAGTCACGGAAGACGGGAAATTATGGACAGATGAGGAGAGAGAACATTAGCTGAGGGCTCTGGAGGGTTCCTTCAGTACACACAGCAGTTGCCATGGCAACATGACTCAAACAACCTTTGGCTGACGTCACGCCTTGGGAAGATTGAAGTTAAATCTTTAATTTGTCTCGTTGTCTAGCCACAATGATCTGGAATAAGTCAGAGCCATGCATTTGTCGCTGACTCATTTTGCCTTGGTATGTGAAAGGCATTAAGTGCAAATCTTTGGACGTATTCAGAGCAGTGGACTAACTGGTCCGAGGGTCAAATATGGCCGATCCACTTGAATACTTCCCCACGGGATATCTCTTCAGTGTCTATTAGCAGATTAGATGGCAAGTTTTTTAATGGGTCACCATATTTGACCATCAGACTAGTAATTCCCTATTGTGAATGGGCCTTTGTTCTGACTTGGACTACCTTCTCACAATATGTATGTTACTTCATGATAACATGTAGTGTGAACCGAGATGTGTGAATGGCTAAAAGAACTCTCTGATTTGTTTGTTGTGGTTGATATAAAGATATAGTGGTAATTTTGATATAGAGGTTTTGCAGTGGTAATGTTGATATAGAGGTCTGGCTGTGGTAATGTTGATACAGTTGTCTAGCAGTGGTAATGATATAGAGGTCTTTCTGTGGCTATGTTGATATAGAGGTCTGGCAGTGGTTATGTTGATATAGAGGTCTGGCAGTGGTAATGTTGATATAGAGGTCTGGCAGTGGTAATGTTGATATAGAGGTCTGGCAGTGGTAATGTTGATATAGAGGTCTGGCAGTTGTAACGTTTATATAAAGGTCTGGCAGTGGTAATGTTGATATAGAGGTCTGGCTGTGGTAATGTTGATATAGAGGTCTGGCGGTGGTAATGTTGATATTATAGCTCTGACAGTGGTTATTTTATTGAACCTTGTGCTGAGGTTTTTTGGCATATATCACTCAGTTGACCTTCGTGTTGATTGTGGAAAGTATACAATTATATGTGAATCGCCTGCCTCCATAGCAGCCATATTTGAGAATTGGAAAAAAAGACAGTAAGTGAATCAAGGGAGGTTGCACTATGAAGACAGAGCTGATGGCACTTTAGAGATTATTGATTACGGTGTGGGTGGTAGTTGATTTATTAATTAATGCAGGGTTGTAAGTGGGGAATGATATTCATTTGATTATGGAGTGGGTGGTAGTTAATTAATTAATTAATGCAGGGTGTCAGTTGGAAATGCATTATTCCTTGCTTGCAGAATAAAAAAGCTTCGTGATAATTAGACTTAAAACAATTGCCGCTTCCTGGGGCAGCACTTTGTTAGGGAAAAGGTCTTGTAAATGTAATGATTAATTTTCATGTTAAGAAGATTAGCAGATGTACCTGTGGTTTAGAACTTTGGCACGTACACCTTTCTCACTGGACAGAACTTAATGTGATTTCACCCAGTGAAAGTGTCAGTCTTCAAATAGAAGAAATTATATGTTGAAATAAGGGAAAATGTTTTAGTTTGTGGTAGGCAACATGTTATCTAATTAAGTTAGGGTGCTAGCAGACTTTTCCTGTTTAATAATAGTAAAGTCGAAAAATATATTTTGTGCGAGTTGAGATAAAGGGATGTAAGAAAATTGATCTTTGGTGTATTTTATTTAAATGAACTGGGGAGTTTGTAAGTATAACTATTTTGCAAAGTTGTGTTTGCCAGTTTAATAGCCAGAATAATAATGTTGTTTAACAGGAAAATAGGAAAGATACATTAAGTACATATTCTAAACATACATTACCCACTTATGTTGATTGACATAATGTTATAAATGCCATTGATATACTAGACTGGGCAGGTTTGTTGCTTCCTTCTGCTGTAAATATGACTATTGTATATACAGGGTCCCCCCCCCAAAAAAAAAAAAAAAAATGTAATAAATCCTACAAAGATCCATCAAATTTCAAGAAATTTGCTGGACTAAAATTTCAATATGAGTATGGTCATTCCCAAAAGTTTCAGTTATCTTGGTCACTTTGCATAAAAGTTATGTTAAATGACTGCTGTATATATACTGTTAAATGACTGCTCTATGTTTCAGGTGGATTGAAGTGATCAACAGTGCCACCAGCAGTGCACACAGGACACGGCTGTTCAGTCGCATGGAGAGTGAGATGGAGGCCAGATGACGACTGCGGACAAGCCTGGGTTCTGATTTGTGCTTTCACACTGACTCATATTAGCATGGTGTGGGGAGAGACTGAAATCAGGACAAATAGATTCCGCGCATTTGGTGGATGCTGAAGAAATAATAATGTGTAAAAAGTTAAAGAGACAACTGCTGGTGATGTGGTATAAATTGAAATGCTTCCCCTGGGGGGGGGCACCCCTGGGGAGGGCATTAGACCTCAGGGTGATGGTCATATCCCCAGGGAGTTTCCCAGAAAGTGATCAGGAAGATGTCCACATTAAACTCTGCTGACACTGAAGGACTGGGATTTTCGAGGATTAACCACTGCCTTTTGAGCAATAAAAGATGTCATATGTCCTGTGAGGTACGTAAGGAGGACAGGACATGACCAGTGTAATCTTTGGTTCTCAAAGAGAAACAGTTGATATGTTTTTTTCTTCTTAATTACAGTTTAACGGTCACAGATGTATCATTTTGATCACGTGAAGTATTTTTATCATTTGCGTGGACATTAAGCTGTGGCCCCAGGGCTGCCATTGCCAGAAAATCGGCAGCTGTTTAGAGATCAGGAAATAGAAAGTGGTCTTCCCACAGGGCCACCCAGCACAACAAAGGATGGGAAATGGTGTGTGTCGTCAGCGGTAACGACATTTCTAGTACCTATCATAGGTTTCTAAGTCATCCTGATGACAAAAATATGAGCTGTAAAGAAGATATGTTAATCGGTTCCCCTCCTAGTGTGAAACTGGACTCCTCATGTTGTGGCCTTGCTGTTTAATGGGAGAGTCAATTGCCTTTGACGAGGGGAGTAAGGTGGTGTTTGAGCCATTATGTCAGATCATTAGTGTGATTTCTCATCATCAGTAGAATGGCTTTGCCATTTGCACATCTCTCACCAAGGGTCTGATGGAAGTCAGACAGGGAAATCATGGCCTCTGAATACAGACCTTATTTATCAAGACTTCACTTTGAAAAAAAAAGATAACAGCACTAGAAAGATCTAGATATCAAGAACTGAGTGCATGTGTACTGGGTGTGAATGCGCTGACACAATCTCCTCCAGTACACTGGCACACCTAACACAATCTCTCCCAGTACACTGGCACACCTAACACATCAGCCAGGTTGCCACTGAAGCCAAGGCCCTCAACATTTGGTTTCTTAACATAAAATACCCATCAGCTGATGTATTAAAATGACCAAATATATTCCTTTCTTTTAGTAAGAAGTATTTTTGATACCTTTGCATTTGATATTTTGAGCTTTATCTTTTGTGTACATCATGATTCACACTTCAATCTTCATGAATGTAGGACATTTATACCAGTACCATGTTAAGCATAATGCTGGGTCAGAAATTAGTTTTCTATCCATAAGAAATACCACTTTGCATGGACAAACTTGCGCCATCCTGTCCACTGTCACGTCGATGACACTGACAAGCCATCCTTCTTGTCAACAGAGCCGTGTCAGTCATCACGTTTCTGTCAGATATCTAGAAAACGTGTACAAGTAGATAGCGTGTTAGCTTAAGTGATAAAGTGAGAAATAAACCATACATGTATGTATAGCAGAGTAAATAATGAGGGGACTTTGTGAATTTTTGCTATTATAAATCATGTCTATTATGCTTCTTTAATCATGCTTTTGCATAATAATCAAATTATCAGTGAATACAAGTGTCTGTATACCTGTATCTCACTTACAAACACACTTGAGTTTAATGTGTTATGAAAACAATGTTTAGTTGCCAATTAATCCAGCAGTAGATCTTACATAAATGCACTGGCAGTGTGTTCATTTTCATTTGCTACTTGACTGACGCATTTTTTCCATACTTCCAATTTTCAACGGCAGATTTTGAGAGGCAGATTTAGTAGAACATGCGGAGTTTTAAAAGAAAGCTCTATTGCTATTCATAACACTTTTGTACTATTCACTTTTGTAACCTCCTGTATAAAAGAGTCCAAGTGAGTGAATCTGTGATGGAGTTGTTAATTAGTCACAAACTATATTTGTTAATTATGTACAGTAATTAGAAGTGTTCCTGCAAGACCGCAGTGTCCAGGAGTAATAAATGTTGTTCTGTTCAGGAGTGATTACTGAGGCCCATTTTGCGGTTTGTGCTCCCCAGATAAGAAATTAATATGCCGGAGGCGAGAGCGGCAAACATTTTTGTTGTTCTTATGTTATTAGTGTTATTTCACCAGCTGTTGCAATAATGATAGAATATAACCTTATTTACCATTTAACATAGGATTGGTGCATTTAGTTTGGAAGGCTTGTAAAGCTTCCACGCGTATTCCCCCGGATGAGTATCAAAACGTTATTGTAGTGTGTTATGTATATAAATTATATATTATATAATATTTTGAGCACTTTCTACAGTACATCTAGTTAATTCCGTGATAGCATTACATTGTTCATGCTCTGCTACAAACGAATGGGATTAACAGTAAACTATTGATCACTGAAAGTGTTGTTTGATTTATGACATAGTTTCAGCCATTACCAGATACAAAAGTATGTACTTGTCATGCATCATGATTAAAATCCAAGTCGCAGTAAATTTTAAGTAGTTTAATCACAAAAAGACAGAAAAAAAGACAAAAGTACATTTTAAATTTACATGTACATTCTGTGGAGAAGAACCGCTTTCATTAACTATCTTGCATATTAGGGATTGGAAAATATTTTTCTGTCTCAGACCCCTACAAGCTTCACATGACTGTTTACTCTCTATCTAAAGGTAAACCGTTTACATTTCTTGCCATCTTTAAAGTCAAGTTAGCGCCCTTAACCACGTTCTAATGATTGCCAAATTCTGAAGCTGTGCTCGGCTGAACTGATGATTGCATGAGTCATTGAAGAGAGCCTATCAGATAACACGCCGTCCGCGGTCAGAGGAAATGTGCTAGTTGAGACAGTTGGGATGTGCTTTATAGCCGGAAAAGAATGCGACAGGTGTGAAATGGCACACTTGATGTAATTCAAAGTTGCAAAGTTGCTCCCTTAAGTTCGATCCTTGTTGAAATCAGGGGGAGGGGGCGGTAGTAACTTTCTCTCGGGGTGGCAGGACCCCCCTCTCTCTCTCTCTCTCTCTCTCTCTCACACACACACACACATACACTCACTCTTTCTCTCTCTCTCTCTCTCTCTCTCTCGCTCTCGCTCTCTCACTATCTCCGGTACAGAATACATCGCTCTGACCAGGCCGAGTCACCATGTGTCCAGCAGGCAGAACATGGTGTGAGGCTGACCACGGGCAGGAAGTAAGCCATTACAAAGGTAGGCCTGTCTATGTCAGTCCAGCCAGTACAGGACCACATCGGCTCTTTGTGTTCTGATTCCTCGATACAGTAGCTGCCGGAACCCGCGAGATGCCGTTTCACTTAACTAGTCGATCAAGCTGCCATTAATAGAGAAGATTTATGTTGTCATATTTGCCTCATGACACTCCGCCTCTCAGTGCGGTGAGGAGCGTCCTGGAGGAGCAACTGCGTGATTTATGCTCGCCCCAATGTATAGAATGTGGTTTTAACGAGGATGTGATGCCATTCACTGCTGCGTTATGTCTGTACTATATGAGCCGATACATCGCGCATTAACTATCATCTATCTCCAGTAACTATATGAGTAAATATACCGCACATTAACTAACATTTATCTCCAGTAACTATATGGACCAATACACCACACATTAACTAGTAACTGTCAGAGCCGATATATGTACACTCAACATTAACNTGTTTGTGCTCCCCAGATAAGAAATTGATATGCTGGAGGCAAGAGCGGCAAACATTTTTGTTGTTCTTATGTTATTAGTGTTATTTCACCAGCTGTTGCAATAATGATAGAATATAGCCTTATTTACCATTTAACATAGGATTGGTGCATTTAGTTTGGAAGGCTTGTAAAGCTTCCACGCGTATTCCCCCGGATGAGTATCAAAACGTTATTGTAGTGTGTTATGTATATAAATTATATATTATATAATATTTTGAGCACTTTCTACAGTACATCTAGTTAATTCCGTGATAGCATTACATTGTTCATGCTCTGCTACAAACGAATGGGATTAACAGTAAACTATTGATCACTGAAAGTGTTGTTTGATTTATGACAGAGTTTCAGCCATTACCAGATACAAAAGTATCTACTCGTCATGCATCATGATTAAAATCCAAGTCGCAGTAAATTTTAAGTAGTTTAATCACAAAAAGACAGAAAAAAAGACAAAAGTACATTTTAAATTTACATGTACATTCTGTGGAGAAGAACCGCTTTCATTAACTATCTTGCATATTAGGGATTGGAAAATATTTTTCTGTCTCAGACCCCTACAAGCTTCACATGACTGTTTACTCTCTATCTAAAGGTAAACCGTTTACACTTTTTGCCATCTTTAAAGTCAAGTTAGCGCCCTTAACCACGTTCTAATGATTGCCAAATTCTGAAGCTGTGCTCGGCTGAACTGATAATTGCATGAGTCATTGAAGAGGGCCTTTCAGATAACACGCCGTCCGCGGTCAGAGGAAATGTGCTAGTTGAGACAGTTGGGATGTGCTTTATAGCCGGAAAAGAATGCGACAGGTGTGAAATGTCACACTTGATGGAATTCAAAGTTGCAAAGTTGCTTCCTTAAGTTCGATCCTTGTTGAAATCAGGGGGAGGGGGCGGTAGTAACTTTCTCTCGGGGTGGCAGGACCCCCCCCCCCCTCTCTCTCTCTCTCTCTCTCTCTCTCACACACACACATATACTCACTCTTTCTCTCTCTCTCTCTCTCGCTCTCGCTCTCTCACTATCTCCGGTACAGAATACATCGCTCTGACCAGGCCGAGTCACCATGTGTCCAGCAGCCAGAACATGGTGTGAGGCTGACCACGGGCAGGAAGTAAGCCATTACAAAGGTAGGCCTGTCTATATCAGTCCAGCCAGTACAGGACCACATCGGCTCTTTGTGTTCTGATTCCTCGATACAGTAGCTGCCGGAACCCGCGAGATGCCGTTTCACTTAACTAGTCGATCAAGCTGCCATTAATAGAGAAGATTTATGTTGTCATATTTGCCTCATGACACTCCGCCTCTCAGTGCGGTGAGGAGCGTCCTGGAGGAGCAACTGCGTGATTTATGCTCGCCCCAATGTATAGAATGTGGTTTTAACGAGGATGTGATGCCATTCACTGCTGCGTTATGTCTGTACTATATGAGCCGATACATCGCGCATTAACTATCATCTATCTCCAGTAACTATATGAGAAAATATACCGCACATTAACTAACATTTATCTCCAGTAACTATATGGACCAATACACCACACATTAACTAGTAACTGTCAGAGCCGATATATGTACACTCAACATTAACAATCATCTATCTCTATATTAGCCACACATTATTATCCATCTTTAGTAAACATATGAGCCAATACACAGCACATTTAATTACATTTATCTCTAGCAGCTATGACATTTCTTGAAACAACGCCAATAGGACTACATCTATTGAAATATTACTTTCGGAGGGCTGGGCGTTGTTTTACTCGTGTTAATTATAAACGTTTTTTTTTCGTTTGTCAAATACCAAAATAACCATCAAACTGATAGGTTTGTAGCTCAATTCGCTATATTTCACGAAGAGAAATGCAGGTTAATCCTAAAGAAAAATGCTGATGACAAATGAAAGAGATAAATACTTTTTAATTTCCATTTTGCCGGTAGACGTTAGCCGCAGCGATTATATGAGCATATTTTGTTTGGCCTTAATATTGTTTCTAATTTTAATAACGGGTCTGGTAATTATCCATGTGCCAGAGTATAATCTCTTTATTTAAGCGTTTACGGTGATCGTTATCGTAGCCAGTAGATTAGAACTATTTTATTTCCATACGCACATCTTAGTCTGCTACAACTTTATCGTTTCCGTGACATATCGTTCTTTATTAATGAAGTAATTATTCTCAACTTATGACGTATTATTTTCTCGAGGTAAAAATGCAAGAAGCTATGGAACGGTTCACGCGGTGTTTGACGTGAAGGCAATGGGACCGAAAGCGTGTGTTTGGCTGTAAATGTATCTATTCGCCTAGATTTAGAAATACCAAAGGTAAACTTTGTAAATTTCTGATAATTCTAGTACGGCTACAGTTTTGTTGACACTCTGTTACATGTAACTGGATAGTTCCCATCTTTGTAAAATTAAGATAAAAATTATAGAAATTCTGTATGCCTTCTAATACGTTTACACTTTTGTTCACGCTGATTGCGTGTAGGTAAAAAATCACGAATCTTTAGAAGTGGATGTATACGGGGTTACGGTGAGAAAACAAGCATCAACGTCTTTCTGGGCTTCTTAACTGTATTGAAAACACATACCGAGTTGAATGCCCCATCAAACTGTGAAACACTGACTGAAATATCATCTATAAAAATTATGGACTGCTGAACTCTTCACGCAGAAACCCATATCTTAGAAATGAATTTAAAAAAAAAGAAAGAAAGAAAAAGATTTCGAACAATGTCAAAAAGGAAAAAAAGTGCATAATGAAATACAGAATTATTTATTTTTATAAAGTCAAAATAGATGTGAGAGATTTCGGACAAATAAAACACAGTTTAGTTTCCTCGGCCTCAAGGCAAGATATCAGTGCAGAACGCCCGCTAGAGAGGGTACAGTCGTAAGTGGTAAAGGGGTTATATCTGTTTAATGTGTTTAATCCCGGCATTGACGGACGCTGAAAAGACATTAATCACGGCGTAGTAAGGAGGCAACTGGGGGTTAAATGGCCGACAGCATAGAAACCCCTCATAACTTCTGTCCCGGAACGCAGCCCTCGTCGACATTACCCCGCTTGCCGCTCACATTAGCCTCTAGGAACGCGACTGGCCGCTGTAATACCAACGCTGTGAGAGAGCTCACGTGAGTTTACCACTGAATACACACACAGGCAGGCTACAGAGGAAGTCGAATATCTGTAGAGGTAAGTTTTTATCAAGCGTATACACATTATACCATCATTTAGTTCTTCTGTACTCTTGTCTTTAAATTTTAAATACAACAAAATGGCCCCAGTGGCTGCCTCAAATCCTCTGAATCCTGGTGATGTAGAACCGATATGACTGCGGGAGCAGGGATCTCAGAGCAGCGTATGCTGGCGGAGATAAACAGTGGATATCAGTATCTGTCAAACATTGGAAAATCTGCTGAAGATCGGGGTAACACTGTCAGTTCTCCACACACTCACACACACAGGACTGGACATTGTATTTCTGTATCATATTTTCCGCAGCAAATCCACACAGACGAAAGTGGTACATAGTAGTTGAACGTCAGCAAAGCCGATATTCAAACTAGAGTATGGTGGACGTTTGAAACAAGCGAAAAATACAAAGAAGAAATAACAAAAGCTGAAGATATGCAAATTTTTTTACGTGTCAAATATTATTTGTGATGAACAGCATTGTGAGCCGAGCTGTGACTTACGGACCTTTTATGATCGCGTTATGAAGAATGGAATAAGATTTTACGAGGTGGGAGACATGATTGTGAAGGGCAGAAATAGTCAGTATTTTGGTACATAACAGTTCCAGTAGACAGAGACCCATTCTTTACTCGAAGATACAGATTGCCTCTGTTCTTGTTCCTGTAGAAGCCGACACACAGCGCCCGTTGACTACAGACAGAGAGAGGAGGCTCCAATATATCACACGCTGTTTGTAGAACTCCCAGGGTAATGGGGCCAGCTTTGTAAAATTATAAACAAGGCAAGTGTTTTAAGAACAATATTTATTCCCTCCCAATAAGCATTTTGGCAATATTTCATTCCTGTTAATCCAATCCTTACAACGATTTGATTCTAGTTAATCTAATTAATTTATCCAATTGTTTTGAACAAATTGTTTCCTGCGTTCCTCGCGCTTTCCTCGAGTTCAGACGAGGACTACGTCAGAACGGATAGCGCTCCAACTCACGTTGTTATCAAATGCCCATATTCCAGACAGATAAAGACTGGTGAACGCCTAATGACGTGCGTCGGAGCGATATGTAATCCTAGGCTGTTTGGGTGTGAACGTGCCGGGGGTTGTATCATGTTGCTGTAAAGTGTATTGTGGCACTGGGGCCATGTTCTGTGCCCCGGGATAGAAGGGGGTCTAAGGTTCGCAGCATGTCGTTATAAAACAACGTTTTAAAATATGCACTCTCCGGGCGTTGACTGAACGGTGGAAGTGCCCTGAACATGTGTAATTCACCCTCTGCTGTCCTGAGTGATTTCGTCGAGGAGTGTTATCGACCTGAACGCGGAGCAACCTTGTAGTCACTGGAGACGGGGAAACTGAAAACAACGCAAACTATATCGACATGAGGACCGGTTTTCTATCGACAAACTGTACATTTTCGATGGTTTCCATATTTAGGAAAAAACAAGAAACAAAAATGTACAATATTGAATATTTTGGCTGCCATTTCTTAATGCTCCATGGTCACCTTCCTCTGGTATACCTGGACAAAACAAGACAAAAAGGCCGAGAAATTTATATAAATCATTTTAATATCTTAAAGCAACATGAAAAAATTCTTTCCAAGACGGAAAAAAAGATAAAACCATCAAATCGGCAAATAGTCCAAGATATGTATGAGTTTATGTTGATGATATCGATATAAAGCTTAAGAGTAGTGAAACACGAAAATCGAGGTTTTAAAACTCATTTATAAATGTAATATCTTTTAAGGCCAGGCACCAATCTCATGTTAGCATTACTTACAGTGGTATCTAGTCTTTGGGAAAATATGAAAAAAAAGCAATGCACTGTGTTATCAGTTGTAATATTTAGAACTAAAAGAAATATTTGTCTTAACCCACTTTTTCTCTCTCCTTTCTCTCTCTCTCTCTCTCTCTCTCTCTCTCTCTCTCTCCACCCACCTCGGTTAAGGCTGTCATATAATAAGATAAGCTTAATACCCCGATCAATTACCTGTGCGTCGCTATCAGCCATACAGCACGTAAGTGATCTTTACAAAGGACTCGAGGACAGCTCAACAGGTGCTTGCTGGGATAATCTCATTACACAGACCGCCGAAATACGACTTGATTGAGTCACTCTCGGCTGGAAGCAGAACATACTGAGGTCCTCGTACAGAACGCTCGACTCCCGCGATCTCCTGCTGAACGCTGTACTACCCAGGGAACACACTGAGGGCACAAGAGACGAGATCGCTGCCGGTAATATCACCTCGGGTCATCTCACCTCGGAGCCTTAACACCGGGTGAATGTAGGAGAATTCCCCGAAATCTCATTGAGGGATCATCTGATCATCCAATAATACGTCGCTGGGAGAGGTTTTATGAGGGTTTTCCTTCTCTGCCATATACACACACGTGTTGGTGTTTTATGTCGTGAAATTAATCTTAGATGTAATATTACATAAATCTTTTACAGATCGTACAGCGCACGGGCTTCGGATGTATTTAGATGGAGTCTCACTCCGCCAGTTTTAACCTACTCACTGTTAAACGGGATTAAGAGTTATCAGCAGATAGAAAAGGAAAGAGAGTTTTGACGACGCCAGTGAACGCGGAAAGCAACTTACACTCCGGTCGTGTGACACCGTCGTATCACAGTGACAAGAGAAATTGGAACTGGATATACGGATTTTAGGACGACATCAAACTTAAAAGAATTTAGTGATTTTCAGACGTTTGAAGTGCGGTTATATAAGTCAGCAAGGGAGGGCAGGAACGGCGGCTGATGACGCTCATAGCTAGAGATCGTATCTTTTTCTCCGCTTAGTAAACGCCGTGTTCTACCCTTTAATCTGGCCAGTTTAGCGCCTACTCATCACTCTCACGCCACAGGCCGGACTTGACCACTAGTGGACACAGGACTGGACACAGCTGACCATGTGGTGGACGATAGGACTGCTGGTGGCACTGACTCTCTGCCTTCAATACTCGGCGGGGATAAAATGGCTGTAAGTAACCCAGATAGAGTATGAAAATGTTTTATTTTGTCTATCCGTGAAGTGATTTTAATTTTTGAAAATACATGAAAATGTCATTTTCTTTATGATGTTGCATTCATAGGTATTGTTTTGAGTTAAAATGCCCAGAAGTGAGTAAAATCCCACAGACTTATTTGGAGTTCCCAAAACCAATGGTTTATTCTACCGTTGTTTCAATTTATTTAATACGTTCTTTACTCTCTGTCCGCAGATAAAATAAACCCTTGAAAACATTTTGCCAGCTTTGAAGCTGCACGGAAAAGTGACGGTGTATTTAATAGAAATGAATGAAATTACTCCGTGGTCTTTAAGCACTGGTGTCACCTGGGGACTGACCAACCTGAGTGGACAACGGTAAAAAAGAACTTGAAACATCGAATCAGATACAAAAATACACAATGAAAAAAGTAAATACTGATAGTAAAATTATAAACGCATTTTGAGTCAGATTTTTTCTAGATGAATGGATATATTTATAAAGTCAAATGGAAAGATGCTTTGGTTTTCAAAAGGGGTCCCTAAAACATATTACCTAATGAAACGGACATCAAGTACATAATTTAATTTAATTTAAGTGCATAAAGAAATGTATGTATGAATATTCGCTTTTCTATCTGGTTGCCAAATCTGACAACGCCTATTGGACAACGCCTGGGCTCGACTTCTTTATCCCGCGTTCCGTGCGAACAGACAGTTATGGGCTGACTACGTTGTGCACGATGATATCTTGATTTGCCGGTCATTTCTCAAAGTCCAACTGTTTGTCGGCCGTTAAGTGTCCGCTTGAAATGAAGATAAACTTCTCCTGCGTTCTTTTCCCAGACTCAGGACGGCGATACGGGGTTGGCTGCCCTCTTTTAAAAGAGATGAGATGCTGCCAAAAAAATATATATTTATATATTTATGATCAAATTTTATAAAGTTTTTTTCTGGTCCGCAAGACATTTAATGGTTCATATTTGATGGTCATACTTGCGGTGAGCGTTTGGCGTAATTCAAGTCACAATTCTACGTGGTTATTTCACGTTAGAGAAAGTTATAATATGTAGGATGATGCCGTGAAACGAGGTTTAGAACATCCACAAAATAACATATGATAGATATATCCATTGTGTCAAGTTGAATGTAGCGGAATAATGTCTGGGTGACTTTTATTTATTTATCTATTTGTCTATCAATTTATTTATTTATTTATTTATTTATTTATTTATTTATTTATTTAGTGTAAAACCATGATGAAAATAGATTCATCTTCCCCATGGCCCTTATAAAGTTAGTTAAAATTAACAACAAAAAAAAAAAGAAAAGAAATAAAGCACAGAAAAGATTAAGATGAAACTATCAAAATAATAAAAAGTACATACAAATCGATAACAACGGCAAAAATAACTATCCTAATTTTTTGATGTAAATTAAATAGGCTGATTTAAATCCCTCTTACAATATTGAATTTTTTCATGCCAATATCAAGATTATTCCACAAAAGTATAGAGCTCCATACGGGCCCATTGATTAAAACTTCTTTGTGTTTGCCACATTTCAAAACCATTTAGTGAGAAAGACTGAATTGGTTTTCAGTATTTACACGCCATACCCATGACATTCACCTAAAACCTTTATCCAGCTATGTAATTCAAAGTTTTAAACGGGATTTTTGTAGTTGATACATTGTATTAGCAGAATAACTTAAGAATTGTATATAAGGCCAAACTGAGCTTGAGCGACAGTGTATAACGTCAACCATCTTACGGTGCAAAGTAACTTGATTATATACCCAGTATAACATAGAAGACGCAATTTTGAACATATAACAGAATGAGATAATATAGCAGTTTTAGGTTGGTGGATGAAGATATCTAGGGAATTTTATTTTGATAAATCAAAGTGGAGGTCAGTGACAGCAGGAAGCACACCCTGACACGCCAATATTGTGATAACTTTCCACTGATTGTGATGAAAGGGATTGCTCTTTAATAGATGTTGTGATAACATTTCGGTATTTTTTTTTTTTTTTTTGTTATTCAAAGTCTCCCACACTTGTTTTGTTTTTATGATATTTGCGTTGATAGGAACACCTCCCCCCCTGCCGTCTAGCATTGACGGGGGGTGGGGAGGGGGGGCTTTGCCTCTTCAAGTGTCGTGCTTATTTATGATACGACCGCCATCCATGGAATGCGACTTCATCGGGACCGTGCTTTTTTCGGGATGAATGGTGGCGACTGTCACCTGGATATTATTGTAGTGACTGTTAGTGTGACATTATCGTGGCGATTGTCACAGGGACATTGTCGTGGTGACTGTCACCTGGACATTACTGCGGCAACTGTAATCAGTTACGTGTCGTTTCCCTTTTCTTAAGAAATACTTGAACCAGTTTTAACTTGGGTTAAGTATTAAACATGTAGTTGTAAAGCAGCGTCTCAAGTATCGTTCGTTTACCACCTCACAGGCGCTGACGCGTGTAAAAACAAGCTTAGAAAAAACTCCTGTTTCTTTCTTAACAAACATAATAACAGCCGGGCACAAAGCTCGGGGCATTGATCCCCCTTAATGGGGTGCCGTGGAGAAAAGACGAGAGACGCAATCTTTGCTGAAATCTGTTCATCCTTGACCAAACTGCCGACCCCGCAGTGCCGGGGCGAGATTATATTTCTAACCGGGTGATACGCAATAAAAAAGATCATTTCCCTGCTTGACACCAGAAACCGCTGCAGGTCTCCTGGGTAGAATATCTTCTAGCTTGTACAGCATCTGAGCAGACATCTAAACGAAGGCATCCTCCATGTTATTGTCAGAGGCAACATGTGTTCGTCGTCTGCTATTTTTCCTAAAACTTTTTTCGATCGTGAAAATTTAAATTAAAAAAAATGGACAGGAATTGATGCATACTGCATATTGTGTCTGGTTATCTCTTTAGCCGGTTTCAATGACGTCTCACGCACCTCGTGATTACTCCATAGAGATGTGTATTTCAGCAATTTGCTCCTACATGTCACCAACTTTCCCTACTTTGCCATTTGAAACGAATTTTTATGTTTTTAATAATATAAAAACAATTACTTCTTTCCCGAGATCATTATCACGTTATCGTAACAAAGTTTTTCGTACATCAAAATTGTTCGCGTTTTGTCTGGATGAATGCTGTCGGCAGTAGATGGTATTGAAAAGTAGCATGAGAACTGTTATACTGTAAACAAAAATGAACATGCTTTCCAGAGTTTTGTGCTCATTAGCCAGGTTAGATAAGGGAATAGATATTTGAAAAGTAGCTGACAAGTATTGCCGGAATTTTGCAGCCGTACATTCTACATATGATACCTGTACATGGAACGCCTGTGCTCAGGTGCATACCGTTGTGTGTGTGCGTGTGTGTGTGTGTGTGTGTGCGTGTGCAGACAGTATGTAAAAATATCATGTATACATTTTGTTGTGTACAGAATGTAAAAAAAATTCTGTGCACACATTGTTTTATACAGTACATAAAATCACATGTACACGCACTGTTGCATACAGAATATAAAACGTACACGCACTGTTGCATACAGAATATAAAAAAAATCTCATCTACACATGTCAGTGTTTATACACAGCACACCGCAACCACCGGTAGAAGTGCAACAGTAGCGTCCAGCCATATGGCGTAGCCCATTAACACTCCTCCACGTGGTCAAGTGGTTTGTAACAACAGCTCAAACATCCACAGCTTAAACATTCATGGAGCAACTTGCAGAAACGTTTTTATGGTCCAGATGTCAGTTAGTAACAGTGACCACCAGGTTCGGGACAGTGCCCTCCAGGTTCTGGACGGTGACCACCAGTTACTGGACCGTGACCACCAG